TCTCATGTCATTGACCAAAATTTACAATGCAACAGCTCCCCTCCCGCTTCCTCCCCACAGTTACCTCTTCCCAGTGTCCATCCCTCCATACTCTTCTGCACCCTGAGCTATCTCCCTGTGCATAAGCAGCCCTTCCTTCTCCCGTGATTGTTCTTTCCAGGGCGTGTTAAAGACATTATTTTTGAAAATCTCAAAAAACAGACATTTACTCTCACCCCCAACAGCTTACTTTGTCCAACAGCTGTTAATAATTTCATTTTTATTGATAATAAATTTATATTCTTAAAGTGACTGGAAACAATTTTGAAACTCTAGTTAGGTGTTTTTTCAAACAAAGGTATGAATTAGCAATTTTGAGTAACTTTATATGGACTGTAGGATAAGCAAATATATTGTCATCCTGGTCCTATTCCTTCGGGTTCACAGAACAAGTCTAGTCCCTTTTCCACAAGTCATTCAACTACGGACAGCTCATCAAATACATACTGTGTCTTGTAGGTGCTAAGCCCTGTTCTAGACGCTGATGCAGCAGTAAATAAAACAAAACAAAAATCTCTGTTCTCATGAAGCTTACTTTCTACTGGCAGAAGACAGGCAGAAAATAAGATCAATAAGGAAAATATCTCGGATGTTAAGGGTTAAGGAGGAAATTTAAGCAAAGAAGGGGAGTAGTAGAGGATGTTGAGCAAGAGCGTGGTTGTTAGGGAAAGACCTCGCAGGAGGGAGGGATGTGCCATGCCGTTAGCAGGCCCAGGAGCCAGGAGCACAGGCTGAGGCAGAAGCCCAGCAACGCTCAGGGCCGAGAAGAGGGGCCGTGTGGCAGCAGAGGAGCAAGAGAACAGGAGGCCAGGTCATCGGGGCTCTTCCTGCAGGACAAGGTAAGGACAGTGGGCTTTGTTTTCAGTCAGACGAGAAGCCACTGGAGGGCTTTGAACAGAAAATGACATGACCTCACTGGCTGCCATTGTACTTTCCATCACCTCATAAGCATGTGAAGGACAATGAGTAAGGAAGACTGAAGAAGAGTTGAGGCCTCTGAACTGTGTGCTGGTGAAGACTACTGGAAATAACACGGACTGCCAGAAGAACGAACACATCTGTCCTGGAAGGGGTGAGCCGGAATGCTCCCTGGAAGCAAGAGTGGCCGGACTTTGTCTCACCTACTTCGTCATGTTGTCAGAAGGGACCATGTCCCGAAGAAGGACACCATGCTTGCTAAAGTGGAGGGTCAGCAAAAAAGGGGAAGGCCCTCAACGAGACGGACGGACAAGTGGCTGCAACAACGGGCTCAGGCACAGCAACGACTACGAGGCTGGCGCAGGACCGGGGGGGCTTCGTTCTGTTGTGCACGGGGCCAGTGAGTCAGAGCTGGATCCACGGCACTTGACGACACTGGATGCTGCGCTGAGCACAGATGGAAGCGGACCAAGAAGGAAACACAACAGGCAGGAGACGGAGACTGAAGATAATCTAGGCAAAACCTGACGATGCTTTGGACTCGGCCGGTCATGGTGAAAAGGAGTAGTTGATTCTCAATACAGTATGAGGAAAGAGGTGACTGCTCACAGACTGAAGATGAGGTCAGAGAGACAGAGGAGAAATATAAGATTTCTGGTAGGGTAACTACAAGACTAGAGTTGCCATTTAAAATAGGGAAGACTTCAGAGGAGCAGCCCTTTTTTTTTTTTAAACTTTTTATTGTGAGTGGAGAGAAAGTTTATGGAGCAAATTGGTTTTCCATTCTATTCAGACACATTTTGATTTGTGACACTGACTGCAATCCCCACAATGTAACAGCACTCCTTCCACTTCCTGTTTCTATTTGTCCTCCTCTCGTATTCCTTCCTGCCTGTGAGCTTTGCCCCTGGGCAAAAGCTGCTCTTTTGCAGCCCTTTGAATTTAATTCATTTTTGAGTGCCTTCTATGTACCAGGCACTGTGTTAAAATACTGGAGATGCAGAGATAACAAGACTATAACCTTTATGGAGGTCACTGTCCAGTAAAAGAAAAATAAAGCTACTGTTATCCAGTAGAGTAAGCACTAACACAGGTATGGACCATGGCGGAGCACAGAGGAAGGGCACCTGACCCAGAATAAAACCTGGGGTGCTGGGGATGGGAAATGGAAGGCTTCCTGAAGAGGATGCTCAAGCTGAGAATAAAAGAATGAACAAGAGTTAATCAGAAGAGAACAGCAGTAAGACCATTTCAGACTGCAAAGTGGGTGCAGACGCATGGTGTTACTAAATGGCTGGGTACATTCAAGGAATCACCAACCGTTTGGCCTGGGAGGATGGGACTAGCGATGACAAAGTGATGCCCCTGCCGGGACTTAGGCAGTTCCACATAACAGACTGACTCGATGGAGCTGTGTTCCTCTTTTCAGACACACTCACGGATGCCCAGAGGACTTGTGGCCAGTGCTCCTCTCTCATGTGCTCTTCTATCACCACCCACTGAACTGAAGAGTGAACTGTATCTGTTCTCAAACCTACTTATGCAATTGTACCTGTTACTATAGGCAAAGCAATATAGGTATGGGTAATGAAAGAAGCAAGCACAGAATTCTCAAGAGTGAACTCGTGTCAAGGAAAAAACCTCGGGCACACATCACAAAAAGTGAAAGAATACACTGAGACTGGAAGAATCCCTGACTCTATTGCCTGGAAACAACTTTTAAGCCTTGAACTGAAACTAACCCACAAAGTCATCTTTAAACTAACAATTTAGCTTATTTAATAAAGAATGCTCACCTGCAGCATTGTGATCTTTCAAAGAAATATTTCATTTAATCTATTGGATTAAATGGACAACAGGAACTCTAAAACCCAGAAAAAAACTGTAAGGGGCAGAGAATCTAAGTGAAGGACAGTGGGACAATATGGGCAGAGGTAGGGATAACAGTAACACAATGTGAAGTATGCAACCACTGTTGGTGACCTGTATATGTAAACACTGTTGAATCAGTGTATGTTTTGCTGTGCATATTTTCACCAAAAAAAGGGGAAGAGTATATATTCATACACTGTAAATTAAGACACTTAAGGTAAAATCAAACAACAAACTCATTGCCATCGAGTCAGTTCCAACTCACAACTACCCCTGCTGGGTTTCCAAGGCTTCTAAGGAGGTTGATCACCCCATCTTCCTTCCGTGGAGCTGCTGGTGGCTTTGAACTGCCAGCCTTCTAGTTAGCAGTCAAATGCCTTACGCACTGTGCCACCAGAGCTCCTTACTTAAGTAAGTAGGCTACTTTTATTCCCTACTTTAACTG